CTTTGATCTTCAGTCTGGTCTCAGCCTTCAGCATCAGAGAGACAACAATGTTAACAGTGAGATGTAACCGTTTGATACCCTTACTCCTCTCAGTTAAGCTTACGGTTGCAAGTTCTATGAGGTTCTGCACATTGATTTTCCACCTTCCTTGCACAGAGATGGTTTTCTGGGGAACACCCATGACAGCATGTCTGACATTTGAAAAGTGCAAGTACTAAATACCTCTAATTCCTGTTTCTCCATTCATTGCCAGATGAGTAATACTTTGGAAAACTCGTCTCAATGGATGCCCTATCAGATGCTCAGCAGTGGAAAAAAGGAAAATTTAGTAGTCTGCAACCTAATTGCCACTCAAAATTTTTAGCCCATAAAGAAAAAATTCAAAACAATTCACAGAATCACACTGTAAACCTTAAATGCCCTTTGTTTTATAGTACTAGATGCTTAAGTTAAATATTATTAAGCCAGCATCTACATTTACACAGAAATGGGAAACCAGGGCAAAACTTACTCTCAGAAAAGCCCAAGCACAGCTTCTGCCACAGAGAGTACCCAGTAGCAAGCTGGATGTGAACTTGCCTCCACTGACACACGGGAGCAGGTCTGAACCCATCCCCACCTCCAGGCTCACTCTCCCCTCAGTTATTTACCCAGAAGCTGCAGAACCAGGCTGACCCAAGTCCTCCTTTTTGTGGTCAGTCTGAGCATGCCCCAGCCCCATTTACCTGTCCCAAGTAGCTCTTGCACATACTGGGGGTGCTGGGAGCCCGACCAGCCTGACTGACGGGTAGTCATGCGGCTGGCTGGCTGGTAAGAGAGCCACAGTGACCAGCACGCTCAGACCTGCTACCAATCCTGCTCTTCATGCAACTGCAGTCCCAGCCTACGTGGGACTCACAACTGCACACAACACCAGAAGCAGCAGGGACACAACTGTGGCATTTACCAGGCAGATCCTACGTGGTCTTCATCATTCACAGGAGTATCGGCAATCTCTAAAACTCTGTTAAGTCTCCAAAGAATTAAGGCCACCAATTAGCTTCACTAATGCACTAGAGCCATTAATCTGCAGTTCTATGGTGATACTTTTTTTCTGCATGCTACAGAAAGAATAACTTTCCGGCCTATAAACGCAGAAATGAACCCTGGAATTATCTTGACACCCTGCAAAGGGGATGCTCCCTCCTCCCCACCCCATACGCCCCCCAACCTCCGTTCAGCCCCCAGGGTCCCCTCGTGATGGCTCTGGGAATTGGGTGGTAACAGGAGCAGAGTGGCATAGAAAGGCAGGGACACGCATTTCCTTCTCCAGAGGTTCTAGTATAAGCAGTTCTGTCTTTAACACCTGCCATTTAATTGCACCCCCTCTTCATATGAAGAACCCAGACCAAAATAAAATGGATGTTAAAAATAACCTCCAAGAAGAGATCAGGCTCCTCTCAACCCAACACTCCCCTGAGCTAGTTCTATAGCTGCACCAAGCAGCTCCCCTGACGCAGCTGAGAGGGTGGAACGGAGGCAGGAACAAGTGGCCACAGCCTGCTTAAATCGGTACTACCTCTGAAAAATGCATGTGAAATCATGCCTTATCTCTTCTGACCGATGGGAGTTTGTGGAAGCAAGCAGGCAAGACCCAGCTTAGGCAGAAAGACTAAAGGGAAAGACGTTGGGGGGAGATATGCCCGCTATCTTAAGGATAGTCTCCCCTTCCAAGCTCTTCAATTAGCATCAGAATCAAACGACTTGCTCTTTAGCATTTTCACCTGCCTGTCCACCTTCCTCCCTTAAAGCAGCACCCCTGTCCCTGCTCCTCCCTCCACAGAGGGACACTTGCAGGCAGCCCCTGCAGAGCAGTTATGCAGCTGGGTGTACCACTTCCCCAGAAAACACGGCAAATCCCACCGAAGGATAAGACAGGAACATACATTTCCACGCTTTCTATATCCCCTCAACTGCTTGGTCCTCTATATCAGCACTTTTACTAGCACAAACCCCACAAAAACATGTCCAATGACACTGACAAATTAACTGACCTCGAAGTAATGAGCTTCCCTCTCCAGTTTTGCCCATAGGGAAGATCTGTTTTTAAGTAAAAGAAAGGCCATGTGGAGGAGAATAATGTTGTACTCTCTGGATTAGGTTTTAATTGCATATAATTAGAGCCTACCAAAAAATCCAAAAAACAACAACAACAAAAAAAACCCTCCCATGCAAACTCCCCCCACCAGCCTAATATCTCATTCCACCTGGTCATCTTTTCCGAAAACAAATGTATTTGTCTTCTCACGTTACACTTGTGTATAGAGAGCCCAGGGGATTTCTTTACTTTTTATTTCCTTTTCAAACTCTTACCTACCACCTATGAATTTTCTAAACACCTTAACCAGAAACAGATCACAAGCATACCTGCAACGGGGGAAGTGCTGTTACTTGAGGGTACATGCTCTGCAGTGCCCTTATGTTCCTCACAGTGGTAACAGCAGCAGCACTACACAGAGCAGGGGATGAAGGGCATTAATGCTCCAGTCTCAGTAGCTTACACCTATGCCATACTGTTCCTGTTGGGAAGGAAGGATAGTCCTGTAGCTTAGTAGCGTCCTAGACCCAGAGGGGAACCACTTTTGCCCTAGTTTCTTACATGAGTTAGGTTTCCACTGCACTGTTTTTCTGTTCCAAAACTGACCGTGGTAAGAAGTTGCTCCTTCTCCCTGTTCCATATTCCCCTCTTGCTCTGCTGCAGCCTAGTTTCTGACCCTTGGCTGAAATTACTGGCAACTTAGTTCAGCCATGGAGTAACCTGTGAGTCCCTTTCACCTTCGCGCAGTTCTGGAACTGCCCGTTGCTTTGGGATGCCCTCTGTCACTGCTTCTTGTCAATTCTCGGCTCTTTCGAAGTTAATCTGGTTCCCCTCCCAACTCAATGACTGCTCGTTCAGCTGCTCCTCCCTGCCTCGCAGGCATCCCTCAGGGCTCTGTCCTTATTCCCTTCCTTGCACTTAAATCATTTACTGCTCTTATCTGGCCACCTAAGGCATTAGTTCCCATCCCCGCTCAGATGAACTCCCAAACACCACTTTGTTCCCAACTCCTGCCACAATCCGTTTAATTTCACGTTAGGAACCACCTTCGTGCTATCCCGCTGGCAGCTGATGTTTGAAAAGGCCAGGACTAAAATTGTTTTGGTTTTTTTTTTTTTTTAATCTTTCTCCTCTGAACCCTCCTGTCTCTCCCCTATCAGGGCAGCCAACTCCGGCTGCTTTCTTTTGTTGGATAATCTCTTTTCTTTCGCTCCTTGACAGGCAGGCTGTCACCAAGCCTCTCTCTCCTCAGTCCCACGTCTCCCAACACAACACCAGGCTCCTCCTCTCCGCCTCCTTTGCCACAAAGGCTCCGGGGGAGCCCAACAAGGGCTGGCACCCGAGCAGCGCCCGGCCCGGCCCAGAGCAGGCTCATGACGGGGCGCTCCCACCTGCGCCGGGGCTGCAGTAAAACACACCTCGGTCTCCGCCATCCCCCGCCCTCCATCTTCCTTGCCCCGTTACTCTCCCCGGCCGCCTCCCGCGGAAACACTTAAAACAACCCGAGCAGGTAAAATGGCCTTCCCGCCTGGCCGCCTCACGGCGGCTCCTCGGCGCCGCCACAGCGGCAGGCAGCCGCCACGCTCCCGGCCAGGCCCCGGCCCTCACGCCTCGCCGCCATCGCGGGAAGGCCGACCTTCCCCCTGCTCATCCTGAAGAGTATCTTGACTTGAAATTCTTGGGAAAGAGTTCTTGAGCTGGATTGTCCACTGGAGGCTTTGCTCTGCAGGGAAGTTTATGTTCATACGTAGTTTGCTGGCTGTTTTTTACAATAATATTTTATGACCCAGAGTCAATATAAGGCTTACGATTCTTTTCATTTCAGGTGTATGTAACTTGTAACTTGGTTAGTATTTCAAGAATGAGAATGAAAGAATCTTTTTTCCTACTGAAAAAGGATTTGGTCTAATTCTGGTGAAAAACAATAGAGTGTCATTGTATTACCCAGATGATGAGCCAGAACTCCACGATTTTTCTATTATTTTCTAATTTTGTTTAGCTGTGGTGAATACTAGGAAACTGGAGACTGAGAGAAGGTAAATTTGAGGTGACTAATGCAACAATATATAACTATTCATTGACAAAAATCATACGATTCTTCTCTTTCTTTTTCCTTTTTCTTCTTCTTTTTCCCCCAAAGTGCAAAAATCCATGAGAGTGTTGCCATTTTAACCCTCAGAAACTCCAGCAGATGATGACAGCTTTCCGGAGTCCATGCAGCTTCAAGATAAATGTTCTGTTACAGCAGGCAAAAAAAAAGAAAAAAAAATAATAAAGGAAAAAAAAATCTTATTTTAAAAATAAGAATAATATATAAAAAAAAAAAAAAAAACACAAACAACCCAACAAAACAACCGGCAAGCCCCACAACCAGATGGAAAGCGAGGTGGGGGGCAGCGAGCCGCAGCCTTGTCCTGGGGCGCTCCGGGAGTTGCTGTGCCTCCCGCTCCGGCGTGGCTCTCGGGAGGAGGGAGACAGGCCCTGGCGGCAGGTCCGCCGCCGCCACCGGAGAGGGGGGGGAAGGCGGCCGCGGCGGCCGGCCCCGCGCAGCGGGAGCAGCGGCGTGCCTGCGATCACTTACTTGTCCGTCTCTTGTGACATGTTTGATCCAATGAACTCTCTCCCCTTTTCCCGGTGCCTCCGTCTCCCTGGCGGAACTGGACTTTCAGGTCTGTGCAGGTGAAGGTGTGTGTGTGTATGTGTGTGCGTGTGAACGCCCGGGACGGCAGAACCAGAGCTACTGGTAATTCTGCTTTCCTTCCCCCCCTCTCCCGGCTCCACAGCCAGCCGCCGAGGTAGGACAGGTAGAGCCCCCTCCCCCTGGCATGTGGGGAGCTGCGGGCGAGGCGAGGCCGGGCTCGGCGCGGAGAGCGGCCGGGCCGGGCGCGCACAGGTAACTTTCCCGAGCGGCGCCGGATTCTTTCACTAAAGGAGCGGGGCAGGGAGGGACGAGCCGCCCGCTGATTGGGCGGCGCGGCCCGGCAGGTGCGCTGCCATTGGAAGAGGCGCGCACAGGTAAAGGCCGCCGCCGAGCTGCAGGTAACGCACCTCGCTGAGGGGAAGGGAGGAAGGCGGGGGGGGGGAGAGCAACCGGCGCTGCTGAGGCGGGCGCGGGCCGTTCCGCCGTCAAATCGACCGCTCTCCCTCTGCCCGCCGCGGAGGGAGCGGGACGGGCCGCGCTGAGGAGGCGAGGCGAGGCGCAGGGCCGTCGGTGTCGCGCTCGGCCGCCGCCGAGGTTAAGGAGAGGCCCCCCGGGGCCGAGCAGGGCGGCGGGGGCCGCTCCTCAGAGGGGCGGCCGCTCCGCGGTGTGCCGGCTGCGGGCCGCCGGGAAGGAGTCGCCGTGACCAAAATCCGTGGCTGTCATGAGGTGGTGCCCGGAGAGGCCTGGGCCCTCGCAGGACAGTTTCGTAGTTAGGCTTTTTTATTATTGGGTTTCAGGGCTTTTTTTACTTTTTGTTGCCAAACCGGCCAGGTTTGAGGTCGGTGAATGTCTTGGCGCAGGAGGCGTCTGACGGAAGAGGGATGAAGTGGTGGCAGATGATACCTGCTGCGTGGGTCTGAGGGCTGGCAGTTGAGCTTGGGGTGTGCGGGGGTGAAAGGTCTGTTTTGTCAGCAGGGGAAAGATGGAGAGAATATGGGAAAGCTGGAACAGGGTGTTTACTGAGGAAAGCTGCCAAGTGGACAGAAAGGACCACGCCATCAATCTGTCAGTCGCCCTTCAGTCCCATGCACCCTGCCGTGGGCCAAAGTGGGCTTACAAGGGACAGGAGCGGGCTGTGTGGGCATCAGCTCTGCCCCTGATGAGGAAGGTGAGGAAGAGGGCTTCTCCCCACATGGGGTGAGTTTGAGAAGAGAGGGTGGAAGAGAGAATTCCGTCTGCTCTCACCCATTCTCAGTCCCCGTTCCTCCACCAGAGACAGGTCAAGACCCCACTAATTCTTCCTGCTGCCTCCTATCCTCCGGGAGACCTCTTCCTGTATTAGGCATCCAGCTAACCTCTGCTGTACAAATGTACGTGTAAAGAATGCACCATTATGTGGGGCAGACCGTTATATTACTTAGTGATCTTTGCAAGAAAATTAGCTGACTGGTGGCAAAACTATCAAATTTATACTGTCTTAGGTGAAGGCATTTTCCATGTTCTACCTTTGATCTCACCTGGCAGGAGAATGTAGTAGAAGGGATGCTCACAGAAATATGTATCTGAATAACCAAGTATATATGTATACATATATTTAGATATAAAAAATCATGTAGCATTACAATCTGAGGCCTGATCTTCTTTTACCTACTCCTGCAGTTGAAATCAGACTTGACTCTATGTAGTCTTTGGTTTTATGGGATTGCAATCAGGTACAAATATCTATTACTGGGTCTCAGGCCTTATCTGTATTCATAGTAACTAACCAAATTAAGCAAATTCAGTATAAATCAGGTTTAAGTCATATTAAAAATAGTGCCTTGAAGATTTCCATCACTTTAACTAAACAGAATTAGAAAAATACTTTAGCTAGATTAATGATGCTTTGATTGAGCACAAGATATTAATTAGCCCTTCTCATCCTTCATTCACCAGTCACAGGAAAGAAAGAATCTGTAAATCCAATCAGAAGTTCCTAATGTGGCCTGAATTTTGAATAACAAATACTGGTGTTGAACTTGCAGGCCGTTATTCATAACAATGCTTGTATGAATTATTTTGTATAATGCATTTCGAGGCTTCAGAAAACACAGAAGAGAAACAGAGTAATTTATTCTTTACAAATAATGCAGTTGTTTTGAATACAGAATTACTATGTAATCTTAAAACAAGCTGAGCCTCTCAGGCACATTACTGTGAGATACTGGGAATTGTTTTGGAGGAATAGTAGTAGAATGCTATAGTAGTTTAAGATAGTGAAGCCCCCCCATTAACTGCAGAAACGATAAGGTTTCTTTCCCAAATATTTGTTACACTGAAAGAAACTTTGAGGCCTGAAAAGGTTACCTGTTTGAGCACCATCAATAGGATTAACGCCCATTTGGGTATCCTCTTTCTCTTTTTTAATTTTTCAATTATGAGAAACATTTGGATGTTGGCTTCCCCCCTCTCCCCCCGTTTTTTCCTGTATGAAATATGTAGGAAGAAGGAGAGGAAGATCAGTGATGAGCACTTTTGAAAATGCCACCTTCCCCAAGGTAGAAATGCTGCTGATGTGTGATTTTACAAGAAAGAGAACTGCATTTGATGCCATCTGCAGTCCTGGACCAAACCCAAACTGTAACTCAAACTGAAATGGAGTTTGTTGTTCTAGTACTGGGTCAAATACAAAACTGCCTTTAGCAGCCTGCTCTCAGGAGAGGTTCTCTTAGAATGAGGTAGTCGGGAGACCGAATTACTGCTCGCTGTCTTACATGGTGTTCCAAGGTCAAAGTTAGGAATATAAGTGGAAAATGCAGTAATGAACTCTTGATTTGAGGTTGTTGGAGATGACAACTGCTATTTAGTTGGGACTTGCTTAGATGGAAAAATAAACCCTGAAAATGGTTTTAACTAAGGTAGGTAGGCACAGGTCTCATCGTTTTCTGGATGAGCCTTTTGCTTCAGACTGCAGACTGGAATCAAATTGAAAGTGTCGGCGTCTACCTCCAGCTGAGCAGGTCAAACAAGTCCTACCTAATCCAGCCTGATGCTCATTCTTCATGATCTACAAGATTATTATAAACTAATCTTGTAGTCATTGAAAAATCAGCTAATGTTATTTCTGGCCAGACCAGTCTTTCTTCCTGTAGAATAAAGGCTGTGTAGAGCAAAAATGAAATAGTCATGTAATGCATTATTGAAAAGCTAGGACTTACTTGTCTTGGAGTGTACAGGAAAAATTTAAAATAGTAAACTACTGTTTTTCATACTGTGTTTACTTCTTTCTTTGCACAGCAGCTGATATTTGTGTGTGTGTGTGTGTGGCATTGTAAGGATTCAGTGTAGAATTCAACTGTCTGAAGCTTTACCTCATGTTTACACTATTTACTCCACAGCAGCTAGTGTCAGTGTTGTTTGGACTTGCCAGCACTGGGTAGAGGAAATAGAGTGTACAAATAAGGCTTAACTAGGCTTACTAATTGCACTAAGTACCTAAAATATCTTTCAGAAAACTATTAAAAGAAGTCTGTGCGATAAAAGATGTTAGATATTTATGTCAAAACAGTGTTGTAAAGCAGTTCAGTGAGAGAGCAGATGTTTGAAAACAACTGGTTTCAGTAGGCAACGATTACCACGTATTTTTATTTGTATCTTTCTGTCATTGATGGCTGTTGAAAGAAAACATACTCTCTCACAGCAAGTTCAAAGACAACCACCTACCTACTAATTTTGTGATATGCAACATTTACTGTTAATCCTCCCCATAGCCTTTCTTTTGTAGCCATCTTCTGTATGAAAATATATTTATTGGAATTTGTGCAGACCTTGATCCTCAACTGACTTATATGAAGCTGTCATGTACATCAAAATAATCTTTTAAGATTTCAGTGCAACCCTCCTGTACCCCAAATAGATCATTCTTATGCTCTAAGAATTAATTACTCTGCACTGTTGGCTTTAAGAAAGTAATTCTGAGTAGCCAAGATCCTGATAATGGTTTACTTCTAATGCTTCACAATGAAACTATATAAAAGTCCTAGCAGAATAGAAAAAATGTTGTCATTTCCGGCAAGTACTTGTGGATTTCTGTCGTGCTGCCTGGGATCTGCAATTTTTGCTCCCCAAACAGGTCTGCTGGGAGCCCTTTAGCAACCTCCAGCTCTCGGGTGTCACATACGACAGCCGCAGTTCAGCGGTGTGGAGGACCATGGAATATCAAGCATTTCCTGGCCACAGGGTAAGGTGTGGAGCAGAACATGGCACTTTCTATTTGAAATGCTGATTTGCATTTCTTTTAGATTCATCGAAGCCGTATGGAAACATGTAAGGAAAAAAAAAAAAAAGGAAGGGCTTTATTTTTGTTTTGCTCATTGTGAGTGTAGAATTCATGGTTCTGCAAGGTGTCAAAGTTACACCATGACTCTGCCGTATATCTTCAAGGCTGAACTTAGGCAGTGTGGCACACACAATGTTGTTTCAGGTTAAAACATGAGAAGTCATTTTTAGCGATGAAAATAGGTCACATGATGGAAATCCTTTTGGGATTGAGACATTGAGACAGCTAAGAAGGTGGCAAAGTCTGACAATAGATTGGAATATTAGGTTTATACTTGATTAGCAGACATTAAAGTACCAATCCATTTAATAAAGATTACTCACGGTTTTGGAACCAATTCAATAGAATTTAATATAGAACGATAGCTTTTCTGCAGATGCTTTGATCTACCTGATAGCGTTTTTTAGTGATTCACTCAAGCATTTTGAAACATTGGGAAAATACAGTTAGGTCACCTAATGACAGTAATTTTGCTTTTAGTATAAAACCATAGTGTGAAAATGAATAAGAAGGCGTCTCTGAAAGACAATTTAATGTGATCTGGGATCTGGGACTCTAGAAATATGTTAAGCTGACATTAAAATTGTGTGATGTCATTATGGGGCAGAGCTAGAGAACCTCAATAATCTGACCTGCAAGAAAAATGTTAAGAGTGCATCTTCCTGAAGCTTTGTCCAGCTTCCTGTGTTAATCAATAGGATCTTTGCATCATCATAGAACCAAACTGCAAATTTATAGACACATTTTGAGTAATCCTAATTTGACCTATTTTTGGGATGAAAGTAAAATGCTATTAGTTTGTTTAGGTTTTGAATAGTTCCAGGGGAATGTAAGAAGAAAATTGTCCTAATACCCATATATCCTTTTTTTTCCCCCTTTTATTACTAGGATATATACCTTAATATACTATTACTATATTAAAAATATCACTAGAATATTTTTTATTTGCCAGTAGTAGTTTAAAACTAACTTTTTCTCAAAATTAAAGTTTCAAAGTTTCCCCACACACACTCTTTCTCCCCTCTTTTCTCCTTTCTAACACAAAATTCCCTCCACTGTACAGAATGAGTCCACTGCTGTTCTTGGTAGGGCAGTGGGTGCCAGGGGGAGGTGGCCTTCTCTAAATTCCACGGAGGGGTGGACCGAAGGGCTGTCACTGGGGAGCGGGGATGGCCAAGTCTGTATTTGCCACTGTGGCTACTGCTCCCAGCTCTCATCAGTCAGTTCTCCAACCGTTATGACTTACAGAGCATCATTTTAAAGGAATCTGAAATAGGGATGTGATCAACATATGGAAAACCTAAGAGCTTCAAATGTCTTGGCATGGATCATAAGCATATAAAGAGTTTTAAAAAATTCAGAAGCTCCACAGGTCTGAAATACTGCACTGCAATAATAAGCATTCTAAAACCAGTAATGAATGTGTCTCTTTTTGCTCTAACAGTCTGTCCCAAAATAGGCATAAGCGTTCCAGCATGCAGAAGGTGAAGGATGGCATATAAACAATTGCTTGTTTACTTTTCCCACACTCAGGAACTAGAGTAAATGCAGCCCAAAGAATCCACAGAAACACTTTTCAATCGGAGCAGCAGGAGTTGGGAAACAAAGCTGTGGAGTATCATCCCGTTCACTTAAAATCAATGCGGTTTTCCCTCAAAATAGGTCAATACTATAATCAAATAGCAAGGTACTTACTTAAGAAATCACAGCAAATGGAAAAACTGCTGTCAGAATCTGCTGAATAAGAGGTGGGGTTGACAGCCCCCAGGCTGTGGCTCCTTTATCCTCGTGTCTGCCCTCAGGAGCAGGCAAATGTTATTTTATTTGAAGGGCAGAGGATAAAGAGGATTGTCTGGTGGCACAAAAGGAACCAGTGTTGGAGCCAGGAGATCTCTGCAGTGCCTTGTTCTATGGAAAGGTCACTAGACCATGTGTCTCTGTGTTTCTGTTTAAGCTTTGTCAGTTCTGCTTTTAGTACCTTTAGGGACAGGTTTAACGGTGTCACTTTCTACTATTTGTTGCTATTCTCTTTTGAAATAGAGGAGCATTTCAGAAGAAAGCCTCCTACTGGTTTCGTTCATAAACATAAAGGCACTATATAATATTACTCCATTAGGCTTTTTGGGCAATGTAGGATCAGAGCTTGTTGACATAATCTTTGGCCTTTCTTAGGGCTTGGGTTTGGTTCTTTCGGTGGTCGGGAGCTTCAAGATCATTTAGTCCATGGCTTGGGGAAGACCCCAGTTCTAGATCCCCTGCAGCTGCTTCGTCAGCCTGTCCTATCGGGTTCACCATCTCAGTGATACTGTGTTTATACAATGCACATGCCCTGCATGCACCTACAAGCCTGCTTTATCTCTACTCAGACTGCTGCGAAAGTAGATTTTGCTGTTCCTCAGCTGCTGGAAGGACTTCCCTGACACCTAGGGAGATGTGATAACTACTCTACCTCGTTCTGCCCCAGAGTTGTGGGACAGCCAGGCCCAGTGCATCACTTTGACGTGCTGGTTCCCAGTTCCTTCACACCTCATTTTTCCTTTGTAGTACCTCTGTTACCCGTGTGCATTATTACACTGCCTGATCCACTATTGACTTTTTTCACTGTTTCTTAATGCAGATTGGAGTTACCACGCGATTCCAACTCCTTTAGCTGTGTTCCATGGCTGTAGCACGTGCTGCTTTATAACCCTACCTTTGTTTCTCTGAGTCCCTTGTTTAAGAGAAGGATTAGACAAAACATCCGTGTTTTCTCAATTTATTCAGGATGCAGAAACTTCTTACCATGTCATGCCCTAGACGCTGTGTGTAAATAGGAGTTGCACTGCAGATTTTGCTTCCTTTGTTTCAGTACAGAAAGCAAATCTCTCAGAATAAGCAGATTTACAACATACGTTAGTTTCGCTTATATTTTTGTTTCTTTTCTGTTTTCCCAAGTAAGTGGAAATCTTAGCTTCAGGAAGAAGCAAGGTGAAAGTATTCTGCAGTGAAGTTTTATGTGGCTCCAGGACAGACACGCAGAGTATTTGCTTGACTCTGTTTGACTTGAAAACAGTACCTGGAGATGGCTGTTTGTTTACATGGAGTGTTTGGGTGTGAGGGGCAAAGCAGGCAGATTTACATTTACATTTCTTTACTGCTTTTTTCTCTAGCTCCCACACATGAGCAATAGCCCTGCGGGGAAGGGTGGGGGCGAGATGTGTGTGCTGCTCCTCATTTCACTATAAACTTTGCTCTGCGTACGAGGACTTCTCAGGGGAAGGCAAGCTCTTCTTTACCATCGTTGGGGGGATAAATCACTCCTCTGCATAATCAATACCGCGGTTAAGATGCTTGGGGAAGGAGGCAAAATCATATACTTGGGCTGCGGGGTTCCAGAGTGAAGGAGGTGCAGGAGGACACAAGGTTCAGGAAACCTGTGTGAGAGGGAGGCCAAGCTGACACCCCGCAGTCTCCTAGCCCCAAGGCGAAGACATTTGGTATCGTGTTGCTCAAGCTCTCACAGCCCAGGCACCAACTGCCAGAGACAGTTCCTGACCTGTGAAGCTTTCACAGGAGGTGTGCGAGGAGGCAGACGTGGGGAGGGAGGTGGGTGCTGCACCTCTCCATTTCATACGTGAGGCTTTTGAGCAACAAGAGTTGCCAAAGGTTATGTGGGGAATCTGTGCAGAGCCAGGAATTTATTACCCCTTGCCCAAATCTCAGGCTGGTGCCAGATGCAGACAGGTAGTTTGCTGGATGCTCCAGCCTCACTCCTGGAAAGTACACTTGCATTCCCAGTGAAACCAGTGAGTTCCCCAGTGTGGAATACATTGATGTTTAGACTGCACGGGCAGGGATTACGTGTTTTGACAAACTCATGCTGGAGTGTTGAGTGCCTTGTGGATTCTTAGCCCCCGAAACATCATCATGCCTAACTGCTCGTTAAACCTGCTGCCCAGCAGAATCCCTCAGCCCTCCTGGGGGCTTGCCTGAGAGAGTGCAAGGTGCCTTTCATCAGTCTAGCCTTGGCCTTTTGTTTTTTGTTTAAACCGCTAACAAAAGTTAAGGTAGAGTTTACCGGGCCAAAACAATTTAGGGTGAATTGCACTCACAAAATAGACAAACTGCATTTGAAATGTAGGATTTTAAACCCAAATGTCTTTATCTCATTTTATCAGAGCTAATTGGTTCAGCCTATGTGCAGCATAGGTTAAATTTTAAATGTTGCACTGATAACTCTAAGCTGACATCAGTATCTACACAAGACAACTGGTGGTGTGGTAGCATAGTTGGCTTCAAGGACAGGTCTTACCTTGAGCAGAGTGGAGTCCATTTGTTGTCCCAAAAGTACATTCTCACCAGAGCTTTATAACTCCTGATGAAACCTTTCTCAGTCTTATGTATGTATGAAGTGCAGGTGGTGGACACTGAGCTTGGTACCATGACGCAGTGGAGCAGGAAGTAATCCCGTCGTGGGGATTTCCGTGGTATCCCCCATCACAGTGATGAGCAGGCAGCAACTTGAGAACCAAACAAGACACAAGAGAATGTTAGAAGGTCCTGTCACCCTGGCTCTCCTGAGATGCTGTTTGTAAGGTGAGGTGGGATAACTGCATGCTTCCACCCTCCTTACAGCGAAGTTGAATAAAGCACACTTTGTTGAGATTCCCAACAGATAAATGCATTAGAGTCACCAGTGGTTGGCTTAGCCCAGTAGAAGAGCACGCAGCTGCCCAAAAGGGTTTTCTATCTTTCTCACCCTAGGTCATGCATTTCTGCCCTCTTGTGTCACAGCAGCAGCCTTGCTCTTTCATCTTCCTGAAAACTGGTTTGGTTTGGTTTTTCTTTAATAGGGGTAGTTTCCAGCCAGATAAGTAGACTGGTTTGACCCCCTAAAACGCCATTCCCAAACTGTGGGAGTGCTGGAGCCAACAAAAGGCAGGGGACGGTAGGTGTAGGGCAGGCCCACCTCTTTTGGCAGCAGCTTGGTTTTAGCTTTGAGTTAAAGTGATTGTGAAAGTGCATGCAAAGCAGTCTTTTCTGTTTGGGGTGAATGAAAGCCTTCCAGGTGTAAGCATGGGGAATTAATTACAGCATTTGCACAGCCCAGTTCTCTTGGAGTCTCACACATGGCTGGCTCACACGACGTCTCTTGGCACTAGAGAGATGTGGCATCACCAACAGCTCTGGCAACATCTGTTTCTTGAACCTTTCAGCTTTCTCCAGCGGCTGGACTGGTGGAGAATTTCTGCAAGTCAAGAGGATCCACAGCATCAGCATCAGTGAAGCTTCTGAACTCCTAGACGTGTATGGATAAGCGCAGCTACCTGATCAAGAAGGTATTTTATAAGTCATGGGTGAAATGACTATCTTTTCTTCAAAAGATGTATGTGTAGAAGGTGGTGTGCCTGGTTTTTATAGAAGAATTGTGAAGAATGTCTATCATTCAAGTTTTCCTTTACACTGCATCTCCATTCTTTGGTTTGGAAGTGACTTCACAGTTGGCTAGTGCTCAAATTCTGTTATAATTCTGGGACTAAATTTGATGCTTTCGCCCTCCAAACCCAGCTTTGCAAGATAAGGGGTGAGGAGGGGGCATTTCTCCTTTATCTGTCCTGTTCCCTTTGGGGTTGAGCTTCCATCAGGGCAGGGAGGGGGAAGGGAGACCAAGGATATCTGAAAATCTTCAGTGTAAACAAGGCCAATTATAGACACACCAATTACCTTAGTGTAAACAGCCAATCACACTATAATGCAGAGAACCTTTTGAGCCTGAGGAGGGTGCTTTGAAGTGCCTCTGCTCAGAGATTGCCTATTAATGCAGAGAACTGCACCACCAGCAGCTGTTGGCTGCTGTGAGTTTGGTGGCAATGACAATGGAGCTGGGCAGATGGGGAGTTGGATGGCTTGATATGATGATGCAGTAGTTAAAATTCCAAGAGCAATGAGGCAGTAGCCACTGGCAACCTGGCTGTAGGCTTGCCTGTATCAGCCAACATATATCGTTGATGGCAGTGTGAAGGAACTGGAATTTTTTGTGACAGACGTGTGTAGTCATTGCTTTTGTGTCCAGGAAACTGCTTAACCTGCACTTTACTAACCAGTCACTTTCCCAGTAAGTCTGCAACTTCCTCTGGCTTTAGGTCTCTTTAAGCCCCAAGTGTGATTTTCTCCTCCAAAGCACCGTACCACTCGTTTGGCAGGCCCCATCCTGTGGTGGATGGAGAATCTTTCTAATTTTGTGAGTTGCTGATCAGGCCCCGTAGGGTTGAATTCAGTTTCTTTGCAAGTGGATGCTGCTACCTGCATAGAGCCGAGGGCTGCAGGAGGTTCCTCAGCCCTGGTCTTTGCTTCTAGAAGGGGAATCAAGCACAGTGATTTCTTCACAGGCTCTTCTCCCCTGCCACATGCCAGCTCCCCTCCTAAAGTTCCAGTGACATTCTCTGCACACAGCCCCTCTTTGGTTTGGGATCGACGTGGTTTTGTCCTCCTGCGTTCAGCAGACCTGTGTCATCCACCTCTGGGCATGACACGTCAGTGAAATAGGGGCAGATGTTTCTCCTGGATGCCCAGAAGTGAATTCTAGTTTTGTAGCAGTACCTGCATGATTTCTCACATTTTCTGTGAAAAAATACAAGTCATACCCAGGTTAACATCAATGTGTCTAACTCCCAGCTGGGAGAGGATTATGCCAATTTAGGTTAATAGCTGCCAACTAATAGACACGCAGATACTCTTCAATTGGTTTAATTTATGTCTGCTGGCCCTGACAATTGGAAGAAAAGATAAACACACAAAAAGCATTCAAAGCTTGGGGTGTTATGATGCTAATTGAAAAGTCACCAAAGGAAGGCTGCTCAGTGTGTGGGAATCTCAGTGCATGAGATTAGTGGCTAATTAGTGGCTGGGAGCTGGAGTGCTCTCCTCCCAGCTATCTGGCCCTGAGAACAGGCCCCTTGGCCCACGCAATCAATTCCTGCCCCTGACCCCAGCAGTGAAGCTCCCATTGTGAACCACAGACAGTGTGCTGATGGGAGGACACAAATCATGTGGGCACTGTAGCAGGCTCTTCTAAGGTGCACAGAAGCGGCGTTGGAGATCCTGCTGTCTGGGTGGCTTGCTGTGCCCTGAGCCACGGCAGAGATACAGGCATTTGAGAACTGAGCTCTTCTTTCTTTTTTAACAAACGCTCAAGTCTTGTTATCTTACTTTCTGCCTCCTCCGTGCCGTGTTTGCAGCAGATGACAGAATACACTCCGGAGGCCCTGAGCTTCAAACCCTGCTTTGAACTCTGAAGTGAACACGTACAGGTGGTGGCACCCCCTTCCTCGCATCGTGTTTTAGAATCATGACATTTAAAAAATAGAAGTTTCATCTGTCTGTCAGTGTCCCGGTATTTCCCTCTCAAGCATTTCCCTGATGTACAAATGAAGTATAAGAATCAGAGATTTAAATAATACACTTCTGTCAACCTAAGAGGTTGGCCTTTAGAAAAAGGGAGACATGCAGAATTGTAGGAATTGGTGTCACTGATGCATCACTGACACCACTGAACTAATCAGGCCTTTGTTTGATTAGGCACAGGTCTATTTTTCTCAATTCTTTTGCATTCATTTATGAGAATCCCTTATTTATTTCTTCATTTAAGAAGGTTATTTTGTAACACTGAAGAGTTACATGTTTTCTTCTTTTCCCCACATTTGCTCTTCCAAATCTGAGACAAGTGTAAACAGAGCTTTAAACTACTGCACACCCTGTTGATTAAACTAACTGGTATTGAACCTCACTCAGGCATCCAGTGGCAATACCAGGGTGGTTCACTTCTGAACATTACAGAAGCTAGAAAACTTTCTTTCCATGTCACCAGGTCTGAGTAACAGTTTTGCTCAGGCTGACATGACAGCCCCAGACAGTCAGCGCTGCCGTGGATCAAGCCAGCTTGCAGTGCAGCCTCCAGAGCCCAGGTGCTCCAGGAATCTTAATAGCCTATGTGGAGCAACAAATTCCTGAAACCTTGCTCTTCGTTCAGTAAATGTTTGTCAAAACAGGAATGAGAGATACAGGAAAAATCAGCATTTTCTGGCCAAATTATTTCCAGCTGGTTCTAGGTGGGTATTAGTAATGCAGCTGTCACTTTTCACATGATGGTTTTTAAATGGACACCCTTTTATTAGTCATCTTTTAAGATACCTTCCCTTTTATCTTAAGCAGAATACCTGTGGGTACCATTAGTGATGGTTTCAGGTACTACTGGGCAGTAACATTAAGATGCCCAGTGGGAGCTGGTCAGTGCAGTGACTGATGCAGCTACAAGCTGAAAGACACTCCAGGCCGTAGCCTAGTGAGGAGCAGATAAGAAATCTGTGAGGTGAAAAGGAGGAAGAATCCCAAATCAACTATATTCAGCTTGTGAAGGGACCACTTTTTACTTGAAGAGCTTTTAAGAAGAATCTTAAGAGAACACTCTGGCCTGGTGGGCAGGTTGCCCCTACCAAGACGCTGCCTCCTCCTGGGAGACACAAGGGAAAATATTTGCCCTTCCTCCTGGCCAAACCGAAACAGCCCCTTCTCCTTCCCTCCCAATCCCTGCTGCCAGGCTGGGGGCATGGCCCCATCACAAGGGCATCTCAGATACTGCAGGTGGGTGTCAGCAGACCACGAACAGTCCATCCATCTCCCCGGAGTGTGGAGGAGACTCTGGGAGAGGGAGTCATCCACGTAAAGATCTCCAGGTGCTCTGTCTGATCAGTTCCTGTACTGCAGAGTTCTCTGGGGTTCCAGTGTGCTGTGTGCGAGGGGAGAAGGTAGGAGAAGAAGCAGCACTCTTCTTCTGTACTTTTTCCTTCTATAAAGAAACTCGGTCAATTGTCCCACCTCCTATCACTTGTGCTTCTCAACAGGCTGGGAGACAGGCAGGTCTGGAGAGGCCTGGCAGCCTGCTTCAGAAAGTTATTTCTTTTATCCCCTTGCAGGACATCCTTTTCTTTTAATGTTTTCTGCACAGTAAAGAGAAGAAAAAGGGTGAAGAAGCTAATGAGAAGGAGCTGCAGATTCCTGTGGGAATCTAAGTGTGGTACATTGGGTCTGCAGGAGCCCAAAGCTGTGCTCAGCTCCATGAAACCTGGTAGCTCAGCTGTAAATCCCAGGATTTCTTCTGGTTTCTGAGCCAATCCCTCAGCATTTAGAGAAGGTACTGGACTGAGCTGAAGTTCTGCAAGCATATCTGATCTCAAGTCAGCTAAAATCCCCTAAAAATCATATTAAAGCACTATCCTGTTCCAAAGAAAAGTGCTAAACCTCAGTCTGGAGTTTCTGTTAAGTTAAAACCACAAATGCTTCTTCAAAAAAGTATAAAATGTAAACACTTTTTCAAATAATGTATAAATTCCACTTTGCTTTGCACATGGTCTCTCTAATAACTGATTTCTCCAGGTAACTTCCAAAATAAAACTCACCTATTCAAAAAAAAATAAATCACCTATTAAAAAATTTAAAGATCATCTATTCCAAAATCAAATTCAATGTCTAAGGTGACATCTGGGGGATCTACAGAAGTCTGGTTTACCTGGGGTAAAGCTAAGGTGAGAGACAGGTCAAAATCAAGCTTGCCATGGAGGCTATCTGCAACCTTTGTGGAGAAGGATTACCATCTTGCTCGGGAGATCATGTTTCTGTTATTATCAATAACAATCAACAATCTGGTTTATACCATTTACTCTCCCCTCTTTTTTAGGCTCTCTCCTCTGACAGCTGGGAGACTCAACACGACACAGGGTGAAGCTACCATGAGACTCAATCGTGTCATTGAATCAGAAGTGTCCTCAGATCATATCACAGGCTGTGACAATGTGTAGGCACCACGGTCCCCACCGCAAAGCACTTAGAGTCCAAGCCAGAGAGCCTGTAAGGAGGGGGGTCATAGTAAAATAGGAGTGTCTGTGCTATTTTGAATGTTGTGCTTTATGGCTGTATTTTTTCAATAAAGCCCATTTTTCATTTTATTGCATTTCGATGTACGAGCATATGAAACCTTGCAGATGTTCCAGTAAGAGCGGGCTGCCTCTCTGTGCATCCTTCTGTGGGGAAATGTCTGTTCTGTGCAGTTACCCAGGAGGACTGAGCTTTATGAGGGAGCAGTTTGGTCTGAGCTGCTTTCCCTTTTTGGCCTGTTGAGAGAGCACTAAGGGGGCAAAGCCAGCCCCCCTTACAGCCTCGCCAGGCCACAGCAAGGGGCTGCTGCCTGTGGCTGTGTGCAGACACCCTCCTGCTCCACAGGAGCCCATCCCGTTACGCTCAGCAGAGCAAGTCTGAACGGGGTGAAATGAAGAGGAAATGCCAGTTCCAGCCCTCCCAGATGGTTCCGGGCTACTTTGTACGCTAACTTTTTCAGCCTCAGGAGGTTTTGCATATTAATTCCTCACCAGCCACAAACTGCTTTTGGATCAGCGCTGCGCTGCCGAGATCTTGGAAAGCCACCCCACCGGAGTGATTCGGGAGACGTGAGCTCCGCTGTGTTTATGGGGCTGCCTGCTCTGCTCTCCTGTTTTGGTAATCCTCTGCTCTCCTGCAGGTATTAACACGCACAAGAAAGCTTCGTCACAATAAACAATAAGCCAAACACGCTGCTTTTTTTTTTTTTTCCGTCCATCAAAGATACCATCGTAGTTTTAAATCAGTCCTAGCAAAAAAATCATCCGTGGGGCTGCAGAAAGGTCAAAGGTTTGCCGGTTTAGGATTTCGTGGGAATATAGGCTTGTTTGGACTCGGCCCAAGAGCTTCGTTTACCAGTTTGACAGGTAACAATTAGCAAGTAATAGCTCTGCCGGCTGGAATGCGGCTGCGAGGGCCAGCGGGCGCTGGGTTACCTGGTGGGCAGGTGTGGGTGCAGCGCCCAGATAGGTATGTGCATGCACAGCATTCCTGGGAATCAGCTTTCCCTTAAAGATGCAGCGATGACTGCAGGGCACAAAAGGGCTGGGCTTAGCCCAGGCTCCCAGACGTTGAGCTGTTTGCAAGGCAAAGAAGTAAAGTAAATAGTGGAAGAGAAGAGGAGCTGAGGAGAGGGCTGTGAGAAACAGCTGCCTCTTTTTTTTCCTTGCACAGAGATTTTTGATTCTTCTCTGAGAATCTCAATAACGGAGAATTCAGTGTGATTACAGTGTCAGGGGGGATAAAAAAAAGAAGGGGAATGCTGAGATAGGGCAGAGCAGATGTGAGGAGCAGCTTGTGTCTGTCTGGAAGTTAGGTGGGAGGGTGGCCAGCGGGGCTCAGGAAGGGTCCGTGAGGATGTTGTGTGTGTTGCTCCCCAGCACAGGCACAGCAGAGCCCAGCAGCTCCCTGGGCACGGTATAAATGTGAAGTGGGGAATCCCTGTATCAACTGGTTTAGAAACGGTTAAACAGCTTATGTGCAGTTCCCCTCAACTCTGCCATTAGCAAGAATCCAAGCCTCATGAATTTATCGAATTAATCCACTTTATCTGTGGCAAACGGCCCCATTTCCAGCTCCTGCAGCAGTCAGGGAAGATTCCTGCATCAGCCCCTCCCAACTCAAGTCCCTAGAGGGAATCTGGTATAAATTATGTAGACAATCAAGGACTTTGCAGGTGTTTTTAAGATGTTTGATTTTTATTTTTTTTTTTTTTCACCACAGCAGGCAACCCTTCTGTTTTAGGAACAGAAAGGTTTGCTCATTCTTTTCATATTTTGTTCCCATTTGTGAAGAGGCTTCTGTGTTTGTGTATTTCCACGTACGTGTTTCAGACTTGACAATTGAGCTATTGTGTGAGGGCGGAGAAGCCACATCCTCCTTCCTGGGCTCTGCATTTTCACCTGCAGAGTTGGAGCAGCGAGTCCCATATTATTAGCCATGAGAGACACGGATGATAAGTAATGCTAGTTATAAACATGTGTGCTATTATAGATACGTATTTACTTATATCACACAGTAATTCCTTTGAAACTTATTTCACTAAGATGGCAAAGGATTTTGTATTTTTAATAAAAATCATGTCTTTTTTACTTATAAATGGCTTCCCTGGCTAAAAGGACTTTATCCTTGGTGTGCTAGTTGATGTCATTTGAGGAAGAAGAAATCCAAGTATAATTAGAGACCATTTTCCTTGATCTTAAAGGACCCAGCATCACTTTGAGTCATTAAGCATTATTTGTACACTGTTATTTAGTATGACCTTCATTAAGAGGCAGTCTCTTTGCTCAACAGCGTATTGGCCAATAAATGGTCGTTAAGCCTGACTACTGGCTGACACAATAGCGAGGGTTGTTCTTATTCTCACAAACTCCTCACAAGCTACAAGCAGGCCCTGCAGAAGCAGGGAGACATCTCTGCACTGCGGCCCCAACCACAGTGAAAATACAACCCTTTCTCAGAAAGTGCTGAGAAACACAGGACAAGCCCCTTCCCCCAGCCCACAGCCGCTGCCTAAGAAGGTGCAATTATCTCTCCTGGCTTGGACCAGAGGCTGCAGCACCTCCGGGAGCCCCTGCCCCGGGCACTTTGGGAAGAAGTGAGCAGTGCTCTTCCCCTTCCAAGCATCCTCCGTTCTGCAGCTCGGACTTCCTCAGCTGGAGCTTGGATCTTCCTCCCCACATTTCACACCTCTGAGTCAACGCTTCGTTTCATGAACCTGTCTGACCGCCGCTTGAACCCCTGTAGACTTGTGACCTCCATCGTGTTATGCAGCCTTGAGCCCCACCAGTTATGACATTCTTCAAATAGTCATTTTGTTTGTTATAAACCACGTTTCTGGTCATGGCATTTGGCAGCTACAGTACTGTGTGAAACGGCGGGCAACCCGTTCCTTCTGTCTCCCAACCTCTACATCTTGCAGAGTCCTGTACGTTTTGGTGTGTCTTCCTACCGTGGCCATTTTGACCTTGTAGCATCCCCCATCGCCTCCCCTTTGGGTGTGGAGGACAGGAACTGAATGTGGTGTTGAAGACCTGGGGGATTTGCCCAGTGGTGGAACAAAGCTTTCTGTTCCTCACATTCCTGATGTTGCTTCAGCCCTGCTGAGTGTGGCAGCAACCCCAGCGCACCAACCAACACTTTCATCAGACTTCATGGTCACAGTAGTCATGCTGCATAAGCACAAATGCCTCTCAGAGTCAAGTGAAGAACTCCCTCCTGCAGCTTTCTGCCCACCTCTAGGCTTTGTGTCCCTGCACAGGCATGATTGCCCCATGGCTTGAAGTGAGTGGAAAGAGTTCCTCTGATTTCAGCAAGACTGGAAGTCCTTGGAGCATCTCTTGTTAATGTCAAGGGGAGCTGCATGAAGCTGAGCCATGGTTAGTCTGAGTGATGTGTTCTTCTGGCCCTGGAATGGGAAATATGCTCATGGGGAGACCAGACTCATTGAGGTAGGAAGGAAATGGAGATCAGTACCAGTGGTGGCCTTGGGAGAGAGGTTTCCCTCACCTATCCCTTCCTGAGGTGCTTCCTGTGAACACAAGGAATCCAGCCTTTCTGTTTGGCACTGCGTTCCACTGTATCAGCACTTTAGCTGCAACAGTTGTAAACATCTAAAGAGTGGTGTCAATTAAAGGTGACTCAGGAACAAATGTGATACGAAGAACTTGGACAACTGGAAGAATAGCTAATGCAGCAAATGCTTTTCTAAATGGACACCTGGAAGGATGAAACTATGGAGAAGATGGTTTGGGAGGGCAGCCTTCCCACCTCAGCGGTGCAGTCATGGTGATTAAACATACCTTTTGGAAGCACACACTGTTTTGAAGGGTCTTCCAGCCATCGCCAAATTAAGCTTACACCCATTGCATGTTAAGAGGCAGGATGGCTCCACCTGCTCTTTGGGTTCTGTTCAAAAGGCTGGCAGTACTTCAGGCTGAACATGGGGATTCTGGAGAGTACAAGGGCTCTGTTGTTCACTGGTAACTACCAATAAAGAGCCCACTCTTTATTGGTAGGTGGGTCATAAATGGCATCTGAAGTAGTCTTTCAACCCAGCAAAGGATATTCCAGGAGAGCAGCGCAGGAAAAGGACCAACTCAAAGCAATTTACCACCACAGGCTATTCCCAGGCAGCGCCACGCTGCGTAAGGAGGAACGGAAAACACGTGGCCTGATTCTCTGTGAAGTGTTTGTGGAGGTTTTGTCACCATGGTACCGAGTCACCAAATACAGAGAGGTCCCTCCCATGATTCATAACTGAACCCACAGTGGCCGTTGCTGTTTCCAGCAGACCTTCTCGCTCTACCGGGGTGTAGCAGCGGAATGGAGCAACGCTGGACACTTACAAGCTTCTCCATCCTCCCAGAACATTGCGAACAGATCAATACACCTGGCAGCTCTTTATGAGCTTTTCTGGGAAGGTGAAAAGAGCAGATAGTTCTGTGGATCGTTTCCATGACACCATAGGTCTGGCTGGTGTCACCTGTTATTACCAGCGTAAGGATTCCCAAACCACTGCATTGTGAGACCTTGGGTTCACCTGTCCATCACCAGACTTGATCTGTTTGGGCAGAAGTTTTCTGAAGTAGTTATCAGCTTGAGGCTGCTAACCTAATATTAAGAATCTTTTAGCCAAAATGGTGTTGCTGTGCGTGGCAGTAAAGAGAGAGAAAAATACATTGTTTTGTCCAGTTTTGTTGTTTTCATATTTATGAACAGTTCTGCCATTCCCGTGCTTCAGAGAAAGATGCTCTAAGTGGTGTTGGGGGATATGGTGTAGGGGAGAACTTTGTAGAGTAGGGCAGATGGTTGGACTCAATGATCCCAAGGGTCTCTTCCAACCTAGCTGATTCTATGATTCTATGATTAAGTTAGCGTGGCATCAGGAGAGGAGGAAGGAAACAAAATACTGCTTCAGGAGTCTGCTTTGAAATTCATATTTGCTCAGCAATTACAGCATTGCTCATGTCAGCAGCTGAGTATATCTGCGTTTCCATCTTGTGGCCCAAGAGCAGATACCTCTGGCTCTCCAGAGCTCTCCTGCTGGGATGGTCACCCTGGAGGTAGAAGTCCCCTGTGAAGACAAACTCTCCCTGCAAGGGAGAATTTCTGGAGCTGGGGCTGAGGTTTAGACCATGACAAGGAGCCCAGGAGGGGAAGACGGGCTGGAGGCTGGGAAGGTGGGCAGACAGGCTGTGACTGGGAACCAGAGCTTGGGGAGCACTGAACTGCTTGGATCAAACTGGAGCAAGGGGAGGGGACCCCCAGGGTCAGCAGGAACAGCAGGGCAGACTGAAGACAGACACGGGGCATGGGAAGGACATGTCTGAACAAGAGAGAACTCAGAACTAACAGAGATAGAGGTGGGGCTGGTCTGTGAGGAACAAGGGCTCCTGATGGCTGAGTGCTGTGGTGGGGACCCAGTCTGGACAAGACCGATGGCTGTGGGTGGCCTCCTGGCTCAGCCACCACGTTTTCTGCCTTTCCCTGGTGCTGGGTGGCCCAGAGATGCCAACATTACCGATACTAATTACATTACCGATACTAATTACATTACCAAAAGCTGCGTCACTGCAGGAAAGTCACTTTCCAGATGCAAGATGGACCACAGATGGATGCTGTTTTCAACACTAGAATCACAGCGTCATGGAACAGCCCAGGTCGGAAGGAACCTTGAAAGATCATCTG